CATGTCAGGCTCCCAGCTCAGTGGGGAGTCTGCTTCTCCCTCTCCGGCTGGTGCTCTCTTGGTCTCTATCTCTCACAAATGAATAAATAAAATCCTTAAAAAAAAAAAAAAAAAGAAAACCTGGACTCAAACAGATATTTGCACACCCATGTTCCCATGTTCCCAGAAGCTCTGTTTACAATGGTCAAAATGTAGAAACGCCCTGAGTGTCCATCAACATGTGAATAAACGTGATATATCCATAAAATGGAATATTCTTATATGTAATCACTTTATTTTATTTTTAAAGTTTTTATTTGTTTAAGTAAGCTCTATACCCAACATGGGGCTCGAACTCATGACCCCAAGATCAAGAGTTGCGTGGTCCACCAAATAAGCCTGCAGGCCCCACAGCATGGAGTATTATTCAGCCGTAAAAAGAAGCGGAGTGTCAGCACATGCACGTATAAACCTTGAAGATGTCACGCTAAACGAAATAAACCGGACCAAAAAAGATAAAAATTATACGGGTCCCCTTAGACGAAATATCTAAAATAGGCAAATTCATAGAGACGGAAAGTAGAATGGAGGCACGGGGAGTCCTTGCCTGACGAGTAGAGCGCTTTTGTTTGGGACACTGAAAAAGTTCTGGACATAGGTAATGATGATATCCAATGTTTTAGCTATACTTCTTTTTCTTTTTTAAAAATATTTTATTTCTTTGAGAGAGAGCGCACAAGTGAGTATGAGCAGGGGGAATGGCAGGCAGAGAGAGAGGGAGAAGCAGGCTCCCTGGTTAAGGACCTGCCCGGGACCCCAGGATCATGACCTGAGCCAAAGTCAAGACGCTTTACTGACGGAGCCACCCAGATGCCCCCATGTTTTGGCTGTACTAACCGCCACTGAACTGTACACATGGGAAAGGCCACACACACACACACACACACACACACACACACACACACACAGAAAGACTAGGGCTTGGTCTTGCACAGCCACTTCTCCAGAACAGGACCAGGGGGTCCTAGAGAAAGGCTGAGGGTCTTGGGAATCTGCTCTGGCTAGACCCAAGGATGTCCCCCTCGCAAAGCAACTGTCATCAGAGTCAGTGTTGGCAGTGGTGGCTGATGATGCTGGAGGCTTTTAATTGCTCCTGAATTAATGTGCTTACTTCTCACCCCTGGGGCACCTGGGTTTAATTACTTTCTCAGGTCACATATGCAAATGAGGCTGCTATCCTCCTTGGTCCCAGTGGACCGCTGCCCTCACGCTTTGCAGCACGATCGGCAGGAGGAGGCCTGATGCCCCTGGCCAGGCTGGCCTGGTGCTCGGGCTGATGAGCAGAAGCGGGTGAAGGTGGTGCCCGGCCACCCCGTTTCTGGGTCTGGATTGGCTGAGGTGTCCAAGGTGGCGTCTGAGGGGCTCTTGCTCTCTCAAGGCCCCAGGAGATCAGCTGTCCATGGCAGAGAAGCCTTGCAGGACCTGAACTCGCAGAACCTGTGAGGATAGAGGGTTTCCCCGGAAAAGGAAGAAATGGGGAAGGGATCAGACTGTGGAAGGGGCTGTGGATGAGGGGATGCAGGTTTGAAAGCCCAGATGAGCCTTGCAGGTATGTGAAGAAGGGAAGCAGGCAGGTGGGACCGCAGCTGCCGTCAGAGGCAGGGCCTGGACTGTCTACGGGCCCCAGCCTGCGGAATTCAGTCCAGGAGCAGGCCTCTGTCACAGCCCCCCTGCAGCGGCCATCTCCAAGCCCTGGAGGCACTCACCCAAGAGAAAATTTCCAGCACTGGGGTTTTCCTGGGGAAACTGGCTGCTCATCCCATCTCCCCGGGAACCCAGCATCCTTGCCCTTCTTGCTGGGGCCCTGACCCTGCGACCGGTCAGCACACACCGGTGCTTCCCAAGCTCAGGTCAGCTGGCAGACAAGAACAGATACCGATGCTCCGGGTCCCACCCGGAGCTTCTGCTCTTCGGGACAATGGGAGGTTTAAAGGCTTCCCAGGTGTCTCTACTATCTGGCCAAATTTGGGAACCCAACTGCTTCAAGTTTTCCCTTGATTTTTGTTCTAGTGTCAGAGTTGCAGGAAGTTGGAAGACAACCACAGATGAGAAATACGATGTTTTGTGGAAGAGCGTTTGTGATATGAAGCTTAAAATAAGAAAAAAAAAAAAAAAAAAAGAGGGACACCTGGGTCGCTCAGTTAAAGCATCCAACTCTTGACCTCAGCTCAGGTCCTGATCTCAGGGTCGTGTATTCAAGCCCTGTGATAGGCTCCACGCTGGACGTGGAGCCTGCTTAGAAATTGAAAAAAAGGGGGTGGAGTGGGGAGGGATGGGTAAGCCCGGTGATGGGTATTAAGGAGGGCACGTGCTGCACGGAGCACTGGGTGTTATACGTAAACAATGAATCACGGAACACTACATGAAAAACTAATGTTATGTACGGTGACTAACCTAACACAATAAAAAAAAATACAATCTTAAAAAAAAGAAATTAAAAAAGAAAACGCATAAAGCCAAGTCAAGGGACTACTAAGTGCTAACAAAGGTGTTTACTAAAAAACACTTGAGGTTCTGGTAAACTCATGTGACCCAGAGTCATGTTTCACATCACAGGTTGTCAAAAGGCCCAAAGGTGGTTTTCTGGAAACGGAGAATGGTGCCTGTTCTCTCTGATTGGGCTCCTCGGAAAAGGTCCTCTGGTTTCCAGCTCTTCGCAGTTACACAGGCCGGTCAACAGCAGGCATGTGCTTCCATTTGGCTGGGTCGGAAATCTTTGTCCCAGGGCCAGTGTTAACGCCCCTGCAGGCTTGACAGGCCCCGCAGATCTGAAAGGGATCTTACCTGCAGTTACCCTTTAACCTAAGGGTGATAAATGCCTTCATCTGCCACTGTTTTAAACCAGCGTTACTGAGGACATTAAACTGCCCTGAAATGTACTAATAGACTGATAATGCTGACTTGCTGCTTTCAAGTTGGAATAGACACGGACGCTCCAGAGAGACTGTCAGCCCCAGTTCAAGGCTTGCTTTCCCCCCAGAATCCATTTTCAGAGAGAAACCAGTCATGAACACCTGGAAAGGATGGCGTTGGCTCAGGAGTCATACCGCATTAGGTGGAAGTAGGACTTCGTTACGGTTATTTGGCGATCAGGTATGGTCTGAGACGCCTGTGTAAAGCTGCGGAGCTGACAATGGGTGGTAGCTTTGTGGCCCATCGACCTGACTAGAGTTCTGTTACTCAAATACTAATCTTAGTACCACCGTGAAGCTCTTCCGCAGACAGCCGAAGCCACTAGTCACTTGACTTTAAATTACACTGGATGATCTGGGTATCCAGATACCTCGGCCTCCCTGACTGAAGTGATTGGAAACGCAGGGCCCAAGGCTCCCTGAGACATTCTACCTGTCACTCAATGCTTCGCTTGTGCCTGCTGTGCCCTGGTCACCTTCCCTTCGGACTCTGGCTCTGTGAACTTTGGATTCTCGCCCAGCCAAGCCCCACGTTCTCAGAAGCTGATTCCTGTGATCAGTCTCTAGATCCCTCTTTTCCTATTGGTTTCTGCTTCTTGGGTTAAATCCTGACTCAAGGAACAAGAATGGCCACAAGGGGGCCTCCTAGCCCCCCAGCTGGGTATGAAAACATGACTCCAGACTTGAACAATGATGCGCTAACAAAGCAGCAGAGCTAACAGCAGACCGCTTCTCCGCTTCTCCACTTCTCCGGGCGGGTGGCAAGTGCTATTCTCCCCGCCCCCCCCGCTCCTAAACACGGAGCTCACTGCGGAGACGGGGGCTTTCTGTGAGGCTCACGTATGTGCGCCAAACAGCACAGCGGACTTCCATCACTATATGCGGCTTTTGAGCACTTGATGTTAGTGAAAATGAGAAATGGAATTGTATGATCTTAAAGCGGGTTCCCACGACCCTCTAGACACCTCCCACCTCTCCAGGGCTGCCTTTTAACCTTCCTTTCACTCGCTTCCCCCAGGAACTGAGAAACCACATTCCAGCCCGCCCAGAATGGTTAGTGGCACTTGGGCAGGCCTTCCAGTTTGGACAAGGATGGCATCCCGTGACCTAGACGCCACCACCCAGGATCATCTGTATTTGCTCTGCATTCGTGTTTTCTCCCCAGTAAGATGTCTGAACCTTAAGTCAGGCTCTGCCTCCCCAGACCCCACTTCTGTTGAAAGATCCAACAGGGCCCCCTCTCCCTTTGCCTGCACCTGCTCTGCCCAGGGACTATGAAGTGTCCTCAACCACTGGTCCTCCCCCACTCCCCTTTCTGAAAGATTCTATTTAAGTCATCTCTACACCCAACATGGGCTTTAACTCCCAACCCCAAGATGAGTGCTTCAGTGAGTTAGTAAGCCATGTGACTTGGTTTTAGCTCAGGTCATGATCTCACAGGTCACGGAATCGAGCCCCACATCCCCCACATCAGGCTTGGTGTTCAGTGGGGAGTCTGCCTGAGATTCTCTCCCTCTCTGGCTATCGCTGCCGCCACCCCCCCCACCCCAGCTCACGCTTTCTCTAAGAAATCTTAACAAACTCATGTGCTCTACAGACTGAGCCAGGCACCACTTATCTCTCTTGGTAATGACAACACAGAGCCTCCTACTTGTAAAGGCCCCGTAGCCCAGCACACATCCGTGAGCACTCAACACAAGCATGGACTCGGACTGGTTCATACACACACGCACACAATGTTCCTATGGGTCACTGAAGCCTTTTTATTCTGCTCACAGAACCACTGGGGATCTCTCCCTGTGGACACCTCGGGATTATCACGTAGACAGACGTGGCTCCAGACACTGGGTGGGAAGTGAGGTGAGAAAACAATGATTCGGGCCAACCTCACGACTACAGAGCTAGGGTTTCCAGCAGGGCTCCAGATGGTCGAGTCAGGCTTCTGCAGCAGTTCTAAGGAAGCAGCAAGAACAGCACAGGGAGGGGTGCGGGCAGTTAACTAGCAGAGGCTCCAGTCAGTCTCGGCTGGGGGCCTCGAGCTGCCCCGGGGGCAGGGGGGGGGCAGAGGTCTAATGAGCCGACGCAGGACCACAGGACCTGGGGTGCGCTGCCTGGAGCTTACTTGGCGAGGGGGTTTCGGAAGCTTCTGCCGGCGAACTTAGCCTTGCTACCCAGTTCCTCTTCAATTCTTGGGAAGCAAAAGGGCGGGGGGGGGAGAAGAGAGATCAAACGTCCGTTCCCAAGGCCCCGCAGAGACACAGGCTCAGCCTCCCCACAGTGTGGCTGCTCAGAGCCGGCAGAAGAGGGAGCAGCCGGCTCTCCCTGGCCCCCCAGCTCCCCAGCAAGTGGGCCATCTGCTGCTCCTTCTCCTTCCCTGCCTTCCTCCACCCCAGGACAAACTAGAAGAAAGGTCAGGGCTGCTATTTCTTGGAATGTAACACACGGTCAACTCAGTTTTTGGGGGAGCTTGTTCATGAAGCAACTGCACCCTGGTGCCCCACCCAGTGGGGAGCTGGACCGGACACATGGGCAGGAGGCATGGGTGTCACTGAATGACTGAACCCCTGGCATGCTCATGGTGCAGTGGTGGGGCTAACAGGTAACATCTCTACACATTTCTCTGAGACACAGACTGAGGTACTCATAGCAGAAACCCTAAGGCTAGAACGTGCTTAAAACTCTCCAGTAAAGGAGGAAGCAGCGCAGGTGTCCACAGACAAGCCCTGCAGGAAGGCTGGTGGCTGCAATACATGGGTGATGGGTAGGGGACATCCCACTAGTCTCAGTGGAAGGAAAGAGTAACATGGGACGGACTCATCAAAGGGACGTTCCTTTTCCTGCAGGACTGGAAAAAAGGAACAAAAAAAGAGGCAACTTTCCAAGTTCAGGAGCTTCCCAAGGATGCATTATGATAAAAAGGGACCAGAATGGGATGCTTGGGATGCCTGGATGGCTTAGTCGATCTGCTCGTAGCTCTAAGAATTCTAGGACTGGTGCGCCTGGGTGACTCAGTAGGTTAAGCCTCTGCCTTCAGCTCAGGTCATGATCCCAGGGTCCTGGGATCCAGCCCCACACTGGGCTCTCTACTCAGTGGGGAGCCTGCCTCTCTGCCTACTTGTGATCTCTGTTAAAAAAATATGTAAAATCCTTAAAAAAAAAAAAAAAATTCTAGGATTAAATTATCTAAAGGGGAACCTGTTCCCTTGTCCACCAGGAGATGGCAGCACAGTCTGGCTCAGGCTCCAGCTTCCTGGCCATGGGCAAGGTGCTTTAAGTTCTCTGCCCAGCTCGCACCAACCTCACAATGCTCAGGCCAGTCCCCTACATCCCCGCTGCGGGCCCACCCCCACACCTGCACACACCCCCCGACCCAGGAGCTCCCAGTGTAAGGCGGGGGCCCCCACCCCACTGCAGGGAGGGTTCCTTTTTACCTGAGGATCTGGTTGTACTTGGCCAAGCGCTCAGATCGGCAAGGTGCCCCCGTCTTGATCTAGAACAGGAAAAGGTCAGTTACGCTTGTTGTAGACATTCAATTTTCAAGAGCATTTTGGGCAGGAAGGAGGGGATGAAGGAGCACCCAGGACCCCATCTATGCCCCAACCTCCCAGTACCACTTCCAGGAAGCTGAGGTAACACGGAGTCAAGCGGCTCTTTACCTGCCCAGTGCAAAGTCCCACCACCAGGTCAGCGATGAAGGTATCCTCAGTCTCCCCAGAGCGATGTGACACCATGACGCCCCAGCCGTTGGACTGGGCCAGTTTGCACCTAGACGTCAGGAAACAACCCAGATGCCTGTGACAATGGGACTCCATTCCTGGGCACAGCAGCCCCATCAGGCCCTCCTGATACCCGGCCTCATCACCCCTGGTAGGAGACCAGAAGAGTGGCCAGAACCAGAAGCCACCACTAAGCTCTCAACTCCTGGGGACAACAATCCTCACCTTCCTCTCCACTCGCAGAGCCCTGAGGACCTTCTTAGCCTCTACGTCACATTTAAAAATCTGGGTTCAGCCCCCTTGAGGGGAGAGGCTTGTCTCCCCCAACAGAGCCCATGACTGACATTCTCCACGAGTCTAACCTGATCATGCAGTGTCAGGACTGGGCCACAGTCGCCCGACACCCTAGGCCCCTTCCCTTGGTGCCACACTGCTTAGAGGCCACCAGAAGTTTAAGCTTGAACGACAGGCCCTCCACCCCCCAGCAGACAGCAGCTCTGGCTGAGGGTCAGGCCCTCGCTCTGGGACAGCTGACCCCCCAGTGCACTTACGCCTGGAGAGACTCAGTCACGGAGCCGATCTGGTTCACCTTCAGCAGGAGGCAGTTGCACGATTTTTCGCTCACGGCCTTGGAAATCCGCTTCGGGTTGGTCACAGTGAGATCGTCCCCCACCACCTGGATGCCGGCGCTGGCAGTGAACTTCTGCCAAGCCTCCCAGTCATCCTGGTCAAACGGGTCTTCGATGGACACCACTGGGAAAAAGGAGAGAGCCACGTCTGGTCATCGAGCCCCCTACCCCACACCCCCGCACCCACCAGCAACCCCAACTTCCTCGCCCGGTCTCTCCCCTTGCCCCCACCAGGACAGGACCAGCCCTGGAAACGCTCTGCCTGCCCACCGGTATCACCTGCAACCCCGGCCGCTACAGGTGCTGAGGGGGACACGGCTCTGTCCGGTGCGGCCCGAGTCTCGTGCCAGCGAGAACAGAAACAGCCATAGGCTCGGGAGGCTAAGAGTGGGCTTGTCTCAACCCCACCCTGGGCACCTTCTCTAACCCTGTGTTTCAATGCGGGGACTTAAGAGATTTCCCGGCCTGGTTCTTGCTCCAGCACGTGCTGAGTGCCCTCGGGTGAATTACTGACCCACTCTGTGCCTCAGCCCCCACCCCCCACACGGGCCAGTATCAAACAGTCTCCACCTTGTGTGCATTATCTGACGCCCAGAGGAGCGCCCGCTCTCCGCCCCAGCGTGCTGGAGCCAGTGCTGCCCTCAGCCCAGGGGCTTGCTGGGACAATGACAGAACAGCCTTCCGCAGGAGGCCAGCGGGCACTCACCTGGGTAATCCTTGATGAAGGACTTGTACAGGTTGGCCAGCTCGTCGGGCGTGATGTACCTGTTGGGGTCATCGGGGGACTTGAAGTCCAGGTCATACTTGCCCGACCGGAAGAACTCTGAGGCCGCTACGTCCATGCCAATGACCACCTTGTCGGTGTAGCCAGCTTTCCCGATGGCATTCTTCAGCAGCTCCAGAGCTGGAAGGGGAGGGTGGCGACAAGGTTGGAACCAGGCAGGGGGTGAGAAAAAAGGCCCTCCAAGAGCTGCCCAACGGGAACCCTCATAGGAAGATCGAGAGGAGCCCTGGCCCCAGCCATCACTTCTAGCATTCCACTGCTTTTTCCTGTGTTGAAGCAAGAAACCGCTGGTAAGGGCCCCCAGCAGCCAACCCAGTGGGAAATTCAGTCTCGACTCTCAGAGGCTTTCTCACTGATGAATGCTCCCCGATTTAGCACCTAGGACAGCTGTGCCTGCCGAGACAGTAACAGTGACCAGCTGAGTCAGCTGTCCTGGATAAGCTGCGCTGGGATCTGAGAGCAAGCCCGGGGCACCACGAGCCCAGGAGGGCAGGGTGAGGGCAAGGCCCTGCCTACCGGGCTCGCTGTCGCCAGCCCAGGTGCAGGGTCCACCTCACTTGACAGTGCTGCCCATAGAGGAAGGGACAGAGACACTTGGTGCCTGTTCCACCCTGAAAGGGTCATTTTTCTGTATGTCAAAAATGGGGAAGCATCAGCGTTTTATATGACTGACGTGAAGAGCAGGACACTTTTTCTTTCACTACTTGCCCTGAAGGCTACGAAACTGTGGCTGAACTCTCCTTCCCTTCTACAACAAAAACCTCAGCCAGGAGTCCTTGTCCCGACTGTCTGGCTGAACTCTTCCATTGAACCCTGTCTCTGAGGACTCCAAGCAAGACGGCTCCGTTAAGCATTCCCGTGGGGGAATGAGCTGGGGGGTGCCGGTCGCAGGCCAGACAGACCCATCTCCTAACACAGAGCAGACTTCACGGAGGTGATGTAAGAACGACAAGGACACGGGGCACCCGGGTGGCTCGGTCGCTGCGGCATCTTTGGCTCAGGGCACACGATCCTGGAGGTCCTGGGATGGAACCCAGAGTCGGGCTCCCTGCTCCGTGGACGTCTACTTGGCCTCCCCTCTCGGGCCCTCCCTCCCCAGCTCAGGCTCTTCCTCTCTTTCCAATAAATCCGTAAAATCTTAAATTATGTGTTAGCTTGCATAGCCCTCCTCAGAACTCGATGTGCAGGGACCTGGTGAGTGTGGGGTACGGCCCAACAGCTGAGAGGGCCGGGCTGCAGAACATGGGGCCCACCCCCACCCCCCCAGCCTTTACCTTCTTTGTTCTCCAGGATGTTAGGCGCAAACCCGCCTTCATCCCCCACATTGGTGGCGTCCTTCCCGTATTTCTCCTTGATGACATTCTTCAGGTTGTGGTAGACCTCGGCCCCGATGCGCATGGCCTCCCGGAAGCTGGCCGCACCCACGGGCAGGATCATGAACTCCTGCATGGCTAGCTTGTTGCCGGCATGAGAACCACCGTTGATGACATTGAAAGCCTGGGGAGAGACAGAGACAAACACGGCCATCTGGCCCCCGAGAGTCCCACCCAGCAGGCCACATGCAGCTCTGGAATGCTTGCCGGGGGAAGGGCAGCGATCACCACCGAGGATGGGCCACCTCAGTGCACACACGACCCAAGGAGTTTCATCCCCTCATCAATAGTAGGAGACATGGGGTACCGGGAGGTCGCGTCCCCTGCTTGGGCACTTCTAGCTAAGTGGCAGGGGTCCGCGGCTGGGATAGTCGCAGTTGAAGAAGACCAAGAGAAGAGGGGTCTCAGGTGCGCACAACTCCTCACTCGGGAGGCTCCAAGCCACTCACCGGAACCGGCAGGATGACTTCAGCATTGCCCGCCAAGTCGGCAATGTGGCGGTACAGGGGCACCCCCTTCTCGGTGGCCCCCGCCTTGCAGACAGCCAGGGACACCCCCAGAATGGCGTTCGCACCAAATTTAGCTGCAACAGAACAGTCAGAGAGAGGATTTCTCAATCACGGCCTCCTGGCCTGTACCCCAACACCAGAGCACCTTCCTGTCCTGATGGCACCTGCTCCCCGTGTCCTACCCAGAAACGCTCCACGGGGACTGACCTGCTTTCTCCGGCTACAGGAGAAGTCCTTCTCTGGTCTATAGAACTCTGGCAAATCCCACAGACTGCGTGACTTACTCTAAAGCACAGGCCACTTTTGGGTAACCCTACGCAAATGCTGCTATCGCAGGCTACTGCTCCTGAGGTTTAAAAGCGCGATTTATTCGGGGGGGGGGGGGCAAGGGGCCCCGAAAACCGAGGGGCAGGTGTCCACGCGGCCAGCACGCGCCGCCCCCAGCAACTCACACTTATTTTCTGTTCCGTCCATCTCAATCATCAGCCTGTCGATCTTCTCCTGCTCTACGACATTCACGTTCTGCGGGGAGAAGAGAGGGTCAGTCTCTTGGGGTGTGGGGCGTGCAGTCACTCTCTCCATAGGACCTTTGGGCTCCCATGAGGGGACCCAGGTTTAACTTTGAACCTGGGAAGTCGGAATCACTTGTCTGGCAGGCCCAAAAAAGAGGGGCGGGGGAGGAATTGAGTGAAACAGGAGACGCGACACTGCGGTCCTTGCTCTCCCATGGTCAGGCATTCCTCCAAGCTCCAGGGAGCCGACCGTGAAATGCAGAAGGTCCGATCCTGGTGTCACAGAGTGAGTCCTCCCCAGGGGTCCAAAGTCACATCACACATAGGACAGAACTGCTGGGTACATGCTAACAGAGGCAGCGCTACACCGTAGTGTGATTCGGGGGCACGATACAATAAACAACTCCATTTGTGCAAACGAGCCGTGTTCCTCAAAGGTTATGTGACACAGCCACCGGCCCCGGCTATTCTCAGTGACGGCACCCCTCGTCACCTCACAGCAGACAGGATTCTGGCATATAGCCCAGAATCTGAGCAAAATGCTTGATGACTGCTCGAAAGGTGTTATTTCTGGTCAAGTAATGAAGTTTAAGCCAGCTGGGCTCCATGACGGGCATGGTACCTACAAACCAAGTAAAACCCCTCAACCCCCCAAAACGGGTGTCTTAAAAACCGGCTCGAAGGAATTCACTGAAAGTCAGCATTACTTTAAAACCTTCACACCTGATTGTAACAATGTATTACTTTATTTCTAACATTCTATGTATAAAGACTAAAAAAAAAAACGAAAAGAAAACCCTGCAGAACCCCACCATGCCCCATTAATAATGTGACACCTTTAGCTTTTTCGACAAAGTGCGTTTGGCCAAAGTGAGCCATCACCCGAGCATGATGGCTTGAGGCAAACCTTCTCATGAGTTTGACTGAAGAACTGTTTCCCCTAAGGGAAGAAAAATGTTCAGGAAAACCCGGCTCACTGCGTTAGTCATGCCAGGTAAGGGCACCGAGGCACAGAGTACAGGGTGCGGGGAGGGGCCCAGGAGGCCCAGGTTCGCAGCACTTGAGCCCACAGAGCAGCAATGAGAAACCGTCTGGGACCAATTACTGAAGGTGAGCATGCCAGGGAGAGACCACAGAGGCACCCACCTGCCGCTGGTGTATAGGAGGAATTCGGGGGGGTGGGGGGCCCACACCTAAACACAGATGGGAGGCTGGGGCTTTGGGCCGCCTGGTCCCCCTCCCCACTTCACCTACAGCAGCTCAACTTTTCTCTAAGCTTACTCTCCCGGTAAATATTTTATTTAAAAAAAAGAGAGAGACAGAGAGAGGCCATCAGTAGAAATATAGTAAATAATTCCACAGTTCATGAAAAATACTCGGGTCACCATGGATGCCATGCTCACCGCCCAAGAGCTGCTCTTAAAATTTGGATCTGAACATCCCCAAGGTCAAGAGAGTTGGAAGGGAAAATCAAGGCCATGAGACCGTCTCCCGAGGCTCTGTTCCAATTGCATTCACGGTTAGACGTGGACACACAGGGAGGGGGTGATTAGAAAGGGAAGATCATTCTCAGGCGACAGGGAATCCGACGGCTTCTTTAGCTCTCAGAATAAGCTCTTCCATAACCAGGAAAGCCCACTGGCCTGGGAGACGCTCCGAAGGCATTAATACATTAGTTATTGGGAGGCAGGTCCTACCTTGCTAATCAGGGCAGGTGCAATAGTTTTATTGATGTGCTCAACAGCCTTTGAGACACCTGGAAGGAACAATCATATCAAATTACCGACATTAATGAAAAACAGGCTTGAGCAGCGTTGAGCGAACCACCAATGTTGTTAACCCAAATATCCAGAAGCCCGCCCAAAAGACTTAAATGGGACCGCTTCCAAATCCCCATTTCTCTGTACCCCCAGTATCGGGGTACTTTCTGGCCCAGTCTGAGTGCTCTTACCTAGGACCCCCAAGGATTAGAGCCACACACAGAGCAACCATCTCAGAACGTCTGAAGGGGCGTTAGTTGGCAAGACCATGCACTGGGGACACCAGCCATAAAACTACAGATGTCCAATGTATTACCTGTGTGCACAAGGCTGGTGCCAGGAACTCATTAATATACTTAACGGGTCTGGAGACACCTGACCAGTAGAGATTGACGGAGAAGGAAAAAAAGACAGACTCAGAAGAGAACAGGCTGTGAAGGACAGGAAAAAGAGAGAGAGAGAGAGAGAGAGAGAGACAGGAAGGCAGGAGAGTTGCGGGACCAGAAGTTCACCCTCCTGACAGTCCAGGGGAGACACAACCCAGCTTTTAGACCAGTACCCACCCGGGGCCATGGGGAGGGGAACCCAGGGGAAACGGCCTTCCTGTGGCACGATCACCAGATCACTAGCCCCGGGCTTCCCCAGCTCACTTCATCACTGCCCCTCATCTGCAGTCTTTCTAGACTTTTCCCCTATCATCGCCCTCCTCTGAAAATGTAATACAGGAGATGCACTGTCCCTCCATACTAGCCTTTTGGAGGGCCATAAATCATGCTAAAATCGGAGGATATTTTTGCCTCCCCCAAGAACCAATTTCCACCCCTGGGTCAATACTTTCCCTGCTGAGAACGCATGGTCTGGCCCCACCTGCTTTTCTGTAATTTGGCCACCTAGATTCTGTCCACAGAGAGGCGAGCATTGCAAAACCAGAAACAAGTCCATCTGCACAGTGCCCAGCAGAGGCTGGCCTGGCCAGACTGGTGTCTCTGTGAATTCATCACCAGAAAGTTCGAACTAGCGGGACTGATCTGTCGGTGAGCCACAGGCTAGAACTTTCAGATACTCCTGAGAAGACGCCCTGTGAGACTGGGAGCATGGCAGGGCTCCTCAATTAGTATTAGTTAACACTCTCCTTACCCTGAGGTTCCCTGGCCTACCCAGGAGTTTTCTAGATGGGAGAGAAACCACGAGAGAAGGTTAAAATGCGCGCCCCCGAGATTATGGGTTTAGGAAGGCTGGACCGGATAGGGCCAACTCCCTCAGCTGTCCCGAGTACGTGCTCAGCTTTGACGCCATAGGCCGAATGAGGTGTTGCCCTTGAATGCAAGGCACGTGGACAGTGGGCCGCAGGCCTGCAAGGGGCACGCGGCCACGCTCCACAGGGACGGGCCAGGGATCCAACTCTTACCTTTCCCCATGTAACGGGTCTTGTCATTGTCCCGGAGCTCGAGGGCCTCGTAGATACCAGTGGACGCACCACTGGGCACAGCAGCTCTGAAGAGACCTGGATGTCAAGGGCGGGCGGGGAGAAGAGTTGCAATTGAGAAACACAGTTCAGCCCTTGCCCGCCTCCCACCCCCCAGCAGATGACATCTCTTAGGACACGCTGCCACTTCCTTCCACCAACTGGAGATTCAGATAGTCCGTTTCCCCTTTCACGCTGATACCAGCCCCTAGCGCCAACCATAAGGCGAACTGGTGGATTTGTCTAGTTTAGAGACAGTTTTCATGCAGAGCTTCCCAAACACTACCGCACCCACAGATCACCGGTCGATCTTGGGGTGGACCTAAGACGCAGGTTCTGAAACGGGAGGCTGCAGACTCTCCATCTGCACCTCCAGCGAGCTTCCGGCGGGGCCCTGCAGCCGGCCTGGCGCCCGCCCCCAGCAGCACCACCCAATGGAAGGACGATGCAAGCAATCTAAGAGATGTAAGATCTCCCAGTAGCTACGCTGAAGTAAGAGAAACTCATTTAATATGCTGTTGAACCAAATACATCCAAGAGACTATCATTTCAGATATGTCATTAATGACACATCATGAGCTTCAGAAAAGAAAGATCATCAAGGTGTGAACGGAGTAACACTAGAACACGAGGAAGCACTGCCCTATGCAGCCTCGCGGACACAGAATCCAGACATCGGGCCAGACCTGTATCCTGGGCATAAACGTGGCTGATCTTGGCCTCCAAGGTCAGTGTCAGGGAAGGTACTGCACGATCTGGTTACAAGGGCAGACGGGTTCAGGGAGCAGGAAATGAAGGCAGCCTCCAGACTACTTGAAACTGTAAGGCATTTCCCATCTGAGGCAGGAGAAGGCACATGAACAAAGAGGGAAGAAAACCACCAGAGATGTAAATCAAACGATCAGTTACTACGCCTGTGCGTGCGCAGCCGGGCGCGGGGTGTCTGGACACATGTGCTGACTCGCTCTGTCCCCATCAGGCACCGACGGGTGAGGAAGTTAGGCAAGCCAGTGCCCCCAATGGAATTATGGACTCTGGGTGATGACGCATCAGGGCAGGTCTGCCGAGAACAAACGTCCCACTCTGGTGGTGCGAGGCTGTGCCTGTGTGGGGAGGGGGCGATGTGTGCTCTCTTCTCTGTCCCTTCTGTTCAATTCTGCTGTGAGCCTAAAACTGCTCTAAGAAGTAAATTGGGGAAAAAAAAAAAGTGATGAGAGGCTCTGAACAGATCCTCGATTTCCTGTTTTTGAAAAGCACCAAGAGAAACATGACAGAGTTCTATTCCTTTATATTTCCAAAAAATATTAACCTTTATCATTTTAAAGCTTTTCAAGGGAAATGCCCCCTTCCCAAAAATCTTGAGTCTTTTTTCCACCGTTGGTTAAGGTCCATTACTTGCCAGATGGAAAGTTCCACCCCGACTAAGCAAGCCAATCTCGTAAGAAAGGGAATTCCCAGCATCCTCTGAGAACGCACGGTCCTGGCCACGAACCACATGCTTGAAGCCACCCTGCTCCCAGGGCACCCGCCACAGTGAGTAAGCCTGGGCAGAACACAGCAGGCTTCGCTCAGTGATGCCTGGACTTGAGGGACCTTCTTTTCCTGGGCAAGAGGGGAGGAGAGGACCGGAAGGGAAGGGCTGCACTTTCCACAGTGACTCAGCTCTGACTGGCAGGTCCGTGTGCTCAGCACCAGCGTTAATTCTGCCTGAAGCTTCTTTTCCTACCTCACCAACCGGGTGCATTTAGACAACAGCTGAGATGTTGCTGGAGGTTAACACAAGGGGAGAGCTTTTAAGAGTCCCCATTTTATTTACTTATTTCACATGGGCCACTCCCCCCACGGGACTTAGAGCCATGGAGAAAACAAGGGCCTCTGGTGTCCCAACACCCACATGTAATAAGAACTGTTCCCAATCCTTGGTTTAGTAACAACTTTTAGGGGCGCCTGGGGGGCTCAGTCGTTAAGCATCTGCCTTTGGCTCGGGTCATGATCCCAGGGTCCTGGGATGGAGCCCTGCATCAGACTCCCTCTCTCGCTGTCAAGTAAATAGAATCTTGCGGGGCGGGGCTGGGGGAGACGTCTGCAGACAAAAATGAGAGTGCTTTGCATCTACCTGCACTCCCCTCCCTTTTCCTTTTCAAGAGACAAAGCTCCATCCCACCACCCCAGACCTGCCCGTTTGCTCAGAGAAAGCTGTGAAGCCAACTAGGGATGGGCCATTTTAGGGACGAGGTGTCACCTTACTTCCTGACCTCACTGACCTGAGAGCCAAGCAGTCTTGTTTGAAATACCAAAGAGCAGCAGGACAAGGACCCCATGCCTGGCAGCCCTCCCCACCTCCTCGCAGTCAGGAACCACAACCTACCAGCACGTGCATACCAGAAGGAAAGGCTTTTTACAACAGACCTTTCCTGGCCCAAAGCTCTATCGTTGTAAAAGGATGGAGTGAGGTAGAGGAGGTGCAGAAACAAAGGTGCACGTACCTTTGGAAGTGTAGAGGTCAACCTCCACGGTGGGATTCCCACGAGAGTCGAAGATCTCTCTGGCATGGATCTTGAGAACAGACATGGTGACTTTCTGTGGGGAAGCACAGTTCATATCTCCCATCAATCATAATGCAGCCTTGGATCATTCATTCAAAGAATCACTTCTGAGGATTCCTGGACTAGAAAGAATTTACGCCAGATACGCATGTAACGCAAGAAAGCCGCCAAGAGTCGGGAAAGCCTGCTGGGCCCGGCTCAGCAAGGCCTCAAATCCCACCAGTCCAGTGCCCGTCCTGTCAAGTAAATAAAGACCGGTCATGCGTGCCAGGGAGAACGAAAAACAACTGGAAAGATTAATGTGCTGCTGGCATGCACAATGGCTGGAATTGAGGCAGTCTGAAGTGGGTTATTGTCAATAGCTCCCAACGAGGGTTGGCATGAGAATAGAAAAGGACCAAGGGGACATGAAGGTCACAAGCAAACTCATCCAGGACAAAAACTCCCAAGATGATCCAAGGAGGAAAATCTGGTTTGAAGTGGAATGGCGAATTCATAGCTGGGACATGGTTTGTACACTGTGGTCTCTGCTACTGCCAATTTCTGGGCCTTTCACATTCCACAGTACTTGGATCTTTAGCAAGACAGAACACACCAAAAATAACATCTAATTAGTATTTCAAATGGGCATTTTACCCATTCAAAAAAAGACTGAATTATGAAACGTCATTATTTGAAACTACAATAAAAATTCTATCCTTGAATGCTAAGATACTCTAAGGCTAGAGGCATTCTTTGTAAGCCCCTCAAAAAAAAGGAGGGGATTTGCAGCTACAAAGAACAAATACCAGGTTCTCAAAGAAAGCCCTTTCTCATCGCCCCTCCCCCACAGCGGCTTCTAAGGAATAATGCATCTTCTAAGACTAGAAGTGGCCCGGCGGAATTGGTTTAGTGCTCAGAGCCATTATCTAGCTGGGCTCCTCTCCAGTATCTTGTCTGGAATGTTCTGAAGCAGCAAACAGCATCTTTCTTTTTTGTAAATTTCAAAATTAGACAGTGAAGTCACTTCCGAGGCTTTTCAGTCTACCTAACAATGGACTTTTATTCATCTCCCCCCATCCCCAGGCCACCAGTGACTGACTTTATAAATTTTAGATATACTTTTATTTTCATTTTCAAAGAGTTTATTTATTTATTTATTGGACAGAGAGGGAGGCGCACACACACACAGCGAGAGAGAACACAAGCAGGGGAGTGGGGGAGGGAAAGCAGGCTTCCGGCCCAGCAGGGAGCCCCACGTGGGGCTCAATCTCGGGACCCTGAGATCACGACCTGAGCCCAAGTCAGATGCTTAAGGACTGAGCCCCCCAGGTCCCCCTAGATGCACTTTCAAGCACATGTTTACTACATTATGCTCTCATCTTACCCTCAGATGCCGTTTTTTAATTTCAGTGATATTAAGACAAAGGGCTTTATTTCAGGGTGTGAAAACAAAATTGAACTTACCTTTAAATTGGTCAAAAAACTATTCCTAAGTCATTAAGTTTCAGTAAGCAAGGCCGGCAAGGAGGGCTGGCCTGACCAGGAGTGTTCACCGCTTATCGGCCTGGACTGAACCCCGGACCAGAAGCAGCACCTGTGGACCGGGCAGTCGGGGACTACGTGTGTCCCCCGCCGCGTCCCCCAACCGGCACACCGCGCAAAGGGAAGACCCCATTGCACAACAGACAACGAACAGGAAGTTTTCTTAAAATACGTCCTTTTAGTGTCAGCTCGGGGGCCGACTGCCGATGGCCAGACCGGGGAGCCGGAGCAGCTCCCTCCTGACCTGGGCGAGGTCGCGGGTAGGGCTTTCCCAGTAGGGAAGGCTCGGCTGCAGTCTCAAGAACAAGCAACCTCTGCAGTTCCATTCATTAGTCCCTGCCCATTCGGTCACCAGCCGCCCGACCGCAGGCCGAGGGCCACCAGCGGGGAGCAGGGGCTGCTGGTGGGGGGAAGGGATCGCGGCTTCTGGGCATCTCTCCCGTCCCTGCTCCTCCTCCATTTTAGGGAAGGCCTGGCTCTAGCGAGCACCCGGGGTGCGGCCCGTATCTCCCCAAGGCCTTGCACCCTCCGCGCCCGAAGGCCCGCGCGTCCCACTCCCGAGCTCCCAGGAGCGCGGCGGCCCCGCTAAGTGCGTAATCCTGGGCTAATCAGCTCCTGCCTCTCCAACGGAGCACGGCTCGCACGTGCCGATCCGCCCCTTCCACGTCCCCGTCCTCGCCAAGGGCAGGGCCCCGCAGGCCTGGGCGGTGGCCCGGCCTACCTTCCCCGGTCCCTACCTGGCCGCCGGATAGCGCTGCCCGGGAAAGAAGCAGAAGATTCTGCAAGAATCGAGGACGAGCGTTAAGACGGAAGGTCTGGCCGCTCCGAGGACCGTAAGCTCGTCTCCCGGCCGCCGGCCCCGACTTCCTGCCCAGCTCCCCAAGAGCCCGCCCACTTCCCGCCCCCGCCCCGCCTCCGGAGCGCCGCCTCGCCATTGGCCCGGCGCGCCGTCACTCGGGCCCGCGCCTCCCGGGAAGGGGTGGGACTGCGGCGGTCACCGCGGCCGGGAGGGGGGAGCGGCGACCCGGGGACGCGGAGAGGAGCCGGGGTGGGGAGTCCCGACTACTCCGCGGCTCTGTGGGGGTGGGGGCGAGTCCTTGCCCCGACGCCCTCTGTTCCCGCCCCCCGCTGGGACCCCAGGCCGAGCCGGGTCTGTGGCGCCGGGGCCCCGGGGAGGGGCGGGGTGGCGCGGCCGGCATGAGGGTTCGGGGCTCCGTCACGTACTCCGAGTCCCGCACGCACGCGGCGTCGCTCGGGCGCCTCACGTCCAGCCCACGACCTTGGCGACGACCTTGGCGACCCGCCCCTTCCGGCCTGCCCCGCCTTTCCCGGCCTGCCCCGCCCCTCAGTGCGGCGCGGAAGACCCCTTCTGCCTCGAAACGTTGGCGGCCGCGCGCCTCGATCGCGCTCCCGGGCCGGGGCTGCAGCAGGACCGCGGGGCCGCGGGTCGGGGGCCACGTGCACCCGTCCGCGCCTGCGCGCTCCGCTCCTGGCCGCTCCCCGCGCCCGCCTGCCAGCGTGACCCGGTCTTTTTGTCCTTGTGCGTCGGCCAATGGGTATCGGGCCCAGGTGACAGAAAAGGAAGTTCACTTTCCTTCAATTAGAGCTGATGCTTTTTGAGCGTTTCCTACGTGCCAGGCACTTCTTCACGTGCATCCCCGGTGCTAATTTGGCCTCTAGCTCTTGCTAATGTTGCACGTGGAAGGCATCTATACACGTCATGATTGGGACTGGAATTTCACACAGACCTGGGTATTTAAAATCAGGTAGTATTCCACGGTAGTCTGGCAAATGAAAACAGGAAAGGGTGGGTGCGGAGATTTCACCTTGCTGATCCAAGAAAGAGCTACTACCCCTTTAAAATCAGTTCTGTAGCTCAATCCCTCTTGGAAGGAAGGGCTTTCCGTTATCGCTACTTTTGTATTTGCCAGGATTCACCTTGGTCTGTAAATCTGAGGGCTAAAGTAATGTCATGTATCTCCCTATTTTCTGCATTGCCTTGCAGAGAGAGATTCAAATATGCATTGGAATTTAATTCTTATCTCTTCTGATCAGCTGCAAAATTGCTTTTCTTGCTTCACTCCTAACATTTTTATCCCCTGAGCTGCTGGGTTAGGTTTCCAAGGCACTGGGTAAAGGTGAGGGCCAATCGAGTCCACAGAATTTTGCTTCCTATTGGCTAAGAAGCAAGAACTTTCCGATTAAAGCAACAAGGAAGTTGTAAAATGTTTCTTAAAGAATTATGTGAGTTTTGCAAGCAGAGTTTGTGACTGCCAGCCATACACTGATGTTGCAGACTGCTTAAAAACCAAGATCCCAGCCCCATGACTCAGCAGCTAAATCAGCTTCTAAGCTTTGTAACTGAGGAAATCAGACACTTAGAGATCCTGTTCAGAGCAATTCTAGGGTGTGGCCCTCTAAGGGCTCCCGAGCAATCTCTTTTCCATTAACATGGCTAGGGAGATAAGAAAGACAGGGCTCCCTGGCCAAACCCTGTGAATCTAGCAGGAAATCAAATGCAGAACCTGGTCTCAGCTGTTGTTGCAACATTCTTGGAAGCCACAGCATAGTGACCTGAGCCAGCACTTCGACCTCAAGTTGTAGCTCAGATGTTAATGATTCGTAGAGAAGCCCTCAAATCTTTCCCCAAATCCACAGCCTGCCAAATGCCCTCTCTGTCTTCACAGCTCCTGAGGTGGTGTTAGCAGGCCACAGAGCTCACGTTTGTCTGCTGCCCAGTGCAGGGGAGTTTACCTCGTTACAGGGATTTAGTTCTTTATCACCAACAGGATGCTTGGGGAGCAATTTTTGCAGTGGCATATCCAAAGCCCTCACCTTCCTGGTGGGCAGGAAGGGATATGAGTGTCCAGTGCTGTTTCAGAAGACCATGCACATGTAGCTCCTGGAAGACATTTGCTGACACCAGGATTGAGGGAAGGTGAACCACAGGGGCCTATGACCTACCTGGGTTACTGATTCTATCTGTGGCCCATATATGCACTCTGGTTGGAAACTGCTGGCCGGCTGAAAAAGGGACATAGCTCTTTGAGAAGGCGAGTCTCTAACCAGATAGGAAACTTCAGTGTTGGACAAGGGGCATACGGGTGGTAAGAGATCAGAGGAGAATGGTGGCCATCAGGGGCTCTAAGTGAATGGCCTCTCCTTGTAACAGACTGTGAGGCTTTTGTGTTTATTGCAAAGTATTTCGCATATACCAAAAACCACATAAAGTTATCTGGTGTAAATAATAATAATTTAGGGGCGCCTGTGTGGCTCAGTGGATTAAGTGTCTGCCTTTGGCTCAGGTCATGGTCTCAAGGTCCTGGGATCGAGCCCCGCGTCGGGTTCCCTGCTCGGCGGGAAACCTGCTTCTCCTTCTCCCACTCCCCCTGCTTGTGGTACCTCCCTTGCTGTGTCTCTCTGTCAAATAAATAAATAAAATCTTAAAAAAAAAAAAAAAGAAAAGGAAAGGAAATTCCACTCTTCCCTTGCAATTTTTGCTAGGAATTTGATTGATTCTTAACTTAGCACCCTTTTCTGGTTACTTTTATGGCGGTTTGGAGGCTTTGAGCCTCTCCCTTTACGGCGGCTTTTGAGCTTTGAGCGCATGTCTTGGGGCATGCCTCCTCTTCCTCCTTCAGAGATGACCTCACAAAGTCAGCAGAAGGAAGGAAGGATTGGGCAAGACTTGGATTTAGGAAGACGGAGCACAGTGTGGTTTTTAAACAGTCCCTGCTGGGAGGGAACTTATCTAGGGGTATGCAGAGGGGAGGAATAAGGAGGAGGGGGGACTAAAGATTTTAAAAACCCAGGGAAGTTGCGGAAGCAAGGAGCAGGCCCCTCGAGCAGAGTCCCCCTTGGAGGAGCTCTCAAAGGAGAGCACAGGGGGCCTGGAGGCTTGGTGTGAAAGAGAGGGACAGATCCTCAGTGCCTCAACTCCTTTATCTCTGAAATGGGTGTGATAATACCAACCTCAGGAGGCTGCCAGGAACTGTAACAGCTCCAGGTAGTTCTTGCCACGTGGGAATCATCTCTCAAAGCCGGAGTGAAGGGCGGGTCACCGATAGCGCGCTGAGCCGCTGTGACAGGTTCCTGGGGCACTATTCTTTTTATCCCTGTTCCCACCCTTTTTTACTCCCAGTTCTTAAGGTTGTCACTCGAAGGGAGGTCCAGGCAGCTGTGGCCTTGGAAACCAAAAAACCCTGTTGGTGTGGCCAGTGCAGAGGGCTCCTGGCTGTCAGGCAGGCTGGTGGCTTTTCTAGAGGCGAGGGGTGTGGAACCCCCACATGGCCCACTCGGAACTATGAGTCCCCGCGAAGGAAAGGGAGGTATGAGAACACAGTGTAAGCGCTCCCGATGGGAAAGCAGGAGCTGAGTTCTTTCTTCGGAAGGTAGTGGCCCCTTGTGATTCACCAGAATGCAGTTTCCATGGGCCGGTCACAAGGACTGCAAGACAATGAGAAATTCTTCCTACACTTTTCACAGATGGGTGTTACCGAGGGCTTATCACCTGCCAGGTGTAGCCCATTTCCCTGTCAACAAAACCATGAACAGGTTCCGTGTGGTTGTCTCCATTCTCAAAGCCCGGAGAGGCCGGCTGATGTGCCCAAGCCAAATGCGAGTGAACGAAGGCACCTGGGGACCAGCTCTGGGCATCCTGCTCCTCCAAGAGGAAGTTCACCTTGTCCTTGGATTTTAACGAGCTGCCACAACACTGAAATTAGTCCAGGGAGCCTTCCCGTAACTAGCATTATCTACCCAGGACTACAACTCCCTCCCGGAATTCAACTGTAACAGCTTCACACTGAGAAACAAGACTCATGAAGGCTTCCTTATCTGCTGGATACTGTGTGATTCTCTCCAGAACGAGTCTGGAGCTGGAAGGAGAAAGCAGCTTGCAGAATCAAAGCAGCTGTTACACCATATTGCAGTTTGAGTTCCAATTACAAAATGTCCCCAACCCCATTCTCGTGGTGGCATTCACGGGCATTTCCTAAACAAAAGGGCAGAAAGTCCGATTTTCCACAAACCCTTTCCAGTTCCCTTGAAAAGCGAAGCTGTTGGGCCTCCGACACTGGGATTCCCGGGCTCTTCTGATTGTGCGAGTGCTTCCTGCGGGTGGGGAAATGCCGAGGACAGAATGGCTTTCAGCTCAGAGCTGTAAGAGGCTGTCAGGATATCCTCGTGGTGAGAAGGGCAGTACAGACTGGGTTGATTTATGACTGGCTGACCTCGTCTTCTAAAGGGCTGATCCCGAACTGAAGGCTCGCTTCTTGATGAGGGTGGCAAGGACATGACGCTAAAAAGTCCCAGGTTGTCAGAGTCTGGGCCAGACAGCTGTATGGGTAAATGGCTGACTCAGGGTTTGCCCCAGCCGGGCCAGGCCGAGATGTAGGGGTGATAAACTACCCCCTCCTGAGGAGTTTCTGACTGCCTGCCACACCCACAGCGCCTGTGGAAGGTTCTCTCAGATGGGGCATGCCCTTACTACTGGATGCTGCCAACTGGATTGAAGATCAGCACCAGAAATGGCCGATGAGCTGGCCTGGCCTGAGAGCTCTGCCTGGTAGGAGCATGTCCTAATGGCCTGGGGCTGACTGGGCGGCCAGGTTTGAATTCCGGATATACAAAGAGAATGATCTGGGGTAGAAAGGCACAGAACAGGCCCTAAGCAGAAGCCATGAGGCTTGAAAGTCCAGGAGGAAACAGACTCCCTGAGGTGGTGAGAAGGAGTCTGGTGTCTGTTGGTTTAAGTCCCACCCTAATCTACCATGACCTCATCTGAA